CCCCAAAACCCCAAAACCCCAAAACCCCAAAACCCCTGAAATAAGAATAATATGTAAAATTATAAAAATGGTAAAGTTTATATAATATTAAAATAAAATGTTAGGTAAGTTGTTGAGAAATTCTCTTAAGCCAGGCAGATATGCAAATTAGATCTTATCTAATAATTCAATGGTCCATCTTCCAAAAAGGTATTTAACTTCAATACAATACTTTTCAGATTTGAGGGCGCATATCCTTGGTAACAGTCATTTGCTGAAGTTATCCCTAAAAAGAATCATAAAATTGCAGATGACACTCTCGATGAGACTGAAATAATTACTAGAATCTTATTTGTTCTTCGCAATTACTATATCTATGATCTAGAGAACTTTGATTGGAAGGTATGATTATGAAAGGTTTAATAATTCAGAAAAAATTCATTGATTAAGGTGTTGATTCCCTCGAGCAAATAGCTTTGATTACATCAATTGAACATGAGTTTCACACTGTTTTCGAGGACAGAGTGTTCGATCACTTTGAAAATCTAGAACAAATCAAGGAATAAGTTATGTTGGATCATAACTGCTTCTGAGAATTCAAAATCATCTAAAGCATAAAGTATTGGTTGCTGCAGCAATTTGATTCTTTAACTCTATTTAAACTTATTAAACTAATTTAAATTATATTACAAATCAAGTTACTAATATAATACATTAAATACTAAAAAAGAAACATTAGTAACTAAAGATATGAAAAGGAAGAGTTTAGGTATGGGAGGTTAATTCGACGATTGGGAGGTCGGCGAAGATTACGAGTGCGTTAAGATATTAGGACAAGGATCATATGGAGCTGTGTGTAGTGCTATTCATAAACCCTCAGGCAAGAAAATGGCAATTAAAAAGATGGATGGAGTTTTTGAAGATGAGGTTGATTGCAAGAGAATCTTGAGAGAGATCAATCTCTTGAGAAAGCTTTAACATCCATATGTTATTAGTGTATTCGATGTTATTGAACCCAAGAGTCATGAGACATTCGATACAGTTTATCTTGTATTAGAACTAGCTGAATCTGACTTGAAAAAAGTTATTAAGAGTGCGATACACTTGCAAATAAAACACATTTAAACTGTGGTATATAATTTACTATGTGCAGTTAAATATCTTCATTCAGCCAATGTCATTCACAGAGATCTTAAACCTGCTAATGTCCTTGTCAATGAGGACTGCAGTGTTAAGATCTGTGACTTTGGCTTAGCCAGAAGTATTACTGGAGTTGAAAGCGCATCAATGTTATTAAATGGTAGAAAATTCAACAAAGATGATGAGGAGACTAAAGCAGAGGAAGCTGAACATGATGTTATCTTGTAAGGCACTGAAATTGCTAAGATTCATTACAAGGATAACCTCAACCAAGATCATGAAGATGCCACAATGAACTAGATGAATGAACTCAAGTTAGATGAATTAGGTAAACCTAAGTCAGAGGAAGAGAAAAAGAAAGAAATCTCAAAAAAGCTAATCAGATCAAAAGATGCAAGAAAGAACATGAAGAGAGAGTTAACTGGGCATGTAGTAACTAGGTGGTATAGAGCTCCAGAGCTTATTTTACTCGAGAAAGATTATGGCCCAGCAATCGATATGTGGTCTGTAGGTTGCATTTTTGCAGAGCTACTAGGTATGATGAAGGAGAGTGCTCCAACTTATCTCGACAGAAAGCCACTCTTCCCAGGAAAGTCATGTTTCCCTCTATCACCAGATAAGCACGCTAAAGAGGAGAGAAAAGGTTTCCCCTTCTCTAAAAATGATCAATTAGCAGTCATCTTTGAGGTCATTGGCTCCCCACTTGAGGAGGACAAGTCATTTGTAACTGACCAGAAGGCCCTTGAGTATCTTGAGGCTTTCCCAGCAAGACCTAAGACTGACTTGCACTAATTATATCCAGGTGCTGGTGATGAGGCTTTAGACCTATTAAATAGGATCCTGGTATTCAACCCCTATTTCAGAATTACTGTAGAGGAAGCACTGTCTCACGCCTTCTTTAAAAAAGTAAGAAAGCCAGAAAAAGAGGTAAATTCAGAAGTTCAAATCTAAATCGAGTTCGAGAAGGAGCACTTAGACAGAAAGAAGCTAAGACAATTATTCCTTGAAGAGATTCAGTTCTACAAAACACAGAAATAAAATGCGGCAGCACATCAACATTGATTCTTTATATCTTACATTAAAAGCTAGAAAATAACTTGATATATATTTTGATAAACATGATTTATTAAAATCCTAATATAATATACTGAAAAATCATCTACTCTCTCGGGGTTTTGGGGTTTTGGGGTTTTGGGGTTTCCGCTCGGTATAT